TCCGTGACGAATAAGATATTTTGTTACAGTATATATTTTATGCAGTATATTAATGTTAGATACTGTATAAAGTATACTTATATTATATAACATGTTATATGGAATTAATGCAATGTGATGTACAGTAACAGATACTGGTACAAATACCCTTCTCCTCCCCTGCTTGAGATAGTGGCCTCTTTATTGAATGTTCTGATATGGTTGCCCTTGTCACTGAAAACCTGCAGGAGCTCAGGAACTGGCACAAAGACACTCCCGTTTCACCTCAGAGAAGAGAAAGTCCTGGTAGATCAATCACAGCCCTTTCCTCGCTGTGCTTTGCCAGTTGTGCACAACCACATGGGGAATGCTGGTCAAATTTGGCGAGAGACATGACCCAGAGTCAAACTCGCTATATCTAGCCCATAGAGCTTCACCTGTGTTTGGAGTGAGCACCTTCAGATGCCAATCAAGCTGACTGGTTGCCAAATACTCTGTAGGGTTTTGGCAGTGGTCTATTACAGTGCTGTGTTTAAGGTTAGTTAAGGTTGATCTTAAAACACCTGTTGGTGGCAGTGACTAAAACATTATCTGGGACATAGCATTATTTTTAGGTCCGTTTTATTTATATCATGCTTCAGAAAAATGTGCTTGAATGACTAGCTTTATTGTTTTCAATATACAGATCTTAAGAATAGCGTCTTCCATCTTGTTGCTAAAGTAGACGCATAGAGACTTTGTGTTACAGTTCTGAGATAAATGCTAACATTACCTTAAGAGCTCTTTAAAGCCCAGAAATTAACGACTAATTATGACAATGAGATGACAGCCTATTATACATTTAACTTGTTTAATTTGCATTAGTGTCAAATCTGACTTAAAATATTAACTTGTTAAAAGGCCGTCTTTTGTACCCTACAAATATTCATACAGTATCTGGCATTTCTGTAGCCTGAAGTACACCCACATGCTGAATATTTCCTCTTCTTTAAATGATCTGTCTGATAAGGTTCGTTTGGACAATTACTTTAGAAATGCTAGGTTGTTCAGCGTAGTGATTGTGGTGGGCTATTGTATTTGCCAGTCCCTTAAACTATTTATAGACATACTGTAGTATTGTTCTGCAGTGATTCATTTTCTAAGTACAGTTTTAATCCAAATTGAGCAGCTCTTTCAGTCAGATTTTAGTGTGTGGTAAGTATAGGACGTACTGTAGGCAGCAGTGTGCCATAATGTTTTAAAGAAATAATTTATGCAAAATCTCCGTTATTTTTGGGACCGTTTTAAAAAAAAAAGCAAGAAAGGGCCTTCAAAAACAAAAATTTCAAGGAATTTTAAAAGAACGAAAACACAGCGAGATTAGTGATTACTTCCAGGTAAATCCTGTGTCATTGTGTCATCTTTGCTATTTAGCATTTCTGTTAGTACACTTCATGCAGCTGTACTGTATATATGGCTATGAGTTCTAAAAAACAAACTTTGTTCTTCTGACATTAATTATAATTTATTATGCATCACCCTTTGAGACTGATTAAGTTGTGGAATAATTATATAAACCACATTTCTGAGCTTCACATACTGTATTCTGTAGCATTCAA